CATAATGTTGCTATATAGGCTAACTTATATACAGTCGAAAATTTTAGCAATAAAGTATCATCTTCCCTTACCTTACCTTTCACTCCCCTCGGTCCAATCAAATCCAGAAAATGACAAGGTGCTTTTTCTTGAGAGGCGATCAGAAACAGCAGTTCTTCCATTAGAAACTGGTATGAACCTATAATCCTAGTATACTAAGAAACCTTTTGTTGAACTCTCTTTATTATCTCATCGGACAGAAGCAAACCAGCAAAAGACCAAAACAATGACATGACCCAACTCAACAAAGTCTTAAGTTAACAGCACAAAACTATGAATGTTACTAAGTGAAAGCAGAAAAACAAAAAATTCATTCTGAAGCATGGAGAATGTTACAGAATGAAAAGATTGCTACACAAAAACTAGAGATGCGGTGGCCACTGCTATCTTTCAGAAGAATTAGCGTATTCAGAAGCAATCGTCCAGCAAAACCAATGAAATCATTAAAAACCTGCAAAAACAAATTGTATTTGTAGTAGTAAAAACATAAATTCATATATAGCACTTGAAAACTTCAGTTAAGGATTTTTTTTACTTTTTTGCAAGGAACCCCAGAATTCCCAATAAACAGTACACCAATTTCTCAAAATATTATAATGCATCAGGGAAAACAAATATAAACAAACAAGCTTGTATTTTCTTTTTTCACTTTTTTTCAATGAAGCATAAAGAACATCCAGATGTCATCTCAAGCAGTCTTAAAGAGTAAGAATACCTTTAATAAACCTAGACGAAGATATGACCATCTATAAGCATAGAAGATTGCTCTAAATAATGATGCATTTCAGCATGAATTATTTTGCTGATCTTGCTACCTTATAATTTTTCATGACATGAAAGGATCCATATCACCGGCAGCAAAAGCATCATCAAAGTCAAGCTTCTTTAGCAAACCAAATTCACTATGGTGATTGATTTGAACCATATGATCCCAAAAGCCTGCATGCTTCCCTTTGACAACCAAACAAGCATGAAAAATAACAGTATCAGTTTATTTAATTTAGAAAATAAAAAAGGGAAACAAGAGACATTTTGTACTGAAATGCAAAAATAAAAACAATATGATTTGGCATGGAAGTTTCTGAGATGGCTATAATATGGACAACTGCTAAATGTGATTCAAAAGTCAAGAGGGCCTTGTCGAGGCAGGCGAGCCAAATATGTAATTAACATGTCGAGTCACTTACAATCTGAGAAAAAAAGGATGAATTAATGCATGAATATCCGATAAAGTGACTAAGCCAGGTCATTATCAGATATATTGCACATCATGATCTTTTTTAACATCTTTATATGAGTTGTAATTAAAATAAACCGTTTCCCACATGAAGCATAATAACATTTTCACACTTCATATGTCCTCATAATAACATTTTCGCCCATTATTTTCTAGGTTAGCTGTGATTGAAAAAGCATGTCAAGAAAGTTTTAAGTACAAATATTTGACTAGTCATAGAACTTTTAGTTATGGATCCAATCATGGTAGAAAAGGTCCAAGCACAAGCTAGCATAATTGGTAAAACCCCAAGGAATTGTACCAAGTACCTCATATACCTTCATTAGGGATGGAGATGAGTTTGATGAGATTCAACCATTGTCTCCTCCAGCCTTCTTGGACAACAATTACTAGGGAAGAAACATAAAAAATACAAGATAACAGTCAATAGAAAAACCTATTAGTGGTTGAATGACATTCTTGTGCCCTCATACAACATAACATAGTAACAAGAATAAGAAAAACATAGTGTATTGAAGAAGCCTTTTTCTTCGTTTTAACCTTCTTTTAGTTGGAAAGACGTAATGACAACATATCCAAGTAATTTAATAACCTAAACTTAAAATACAATGGAAATCATTAAAATGTAACTTGTGGTACAACCTAAATACTTGAAAACATACATGTTGTTCATAGATGCTTGTTTTATTCGGATATAGTTAATGGATATAAAGAACATGATATCCAAAAATAATCCAAAGCTTTCTTTAAGACATTCTAAAACCTGCCAAAAAGGATAAATAATTAATTAGAGTTGGTTCGCTGAAAATTCATAACCAAGTTCCTAAAACTGTTAATGCCTATGTTAAGAGATTAGTTCTATTCATGAAGTACACAAAGAGCAACATAAGAAAGTTATAATATTACCTCAAAGGAACAAGACAAAGACTTATAGCTTGTAGTTGCCTTTTCTTTCTTTCTTTTTCAAGAAGAAGAAGAATAAGAATGGAACAAAACTACTGTGACAGATCAGCATTATGTAATTGCAGGATGCATTCCACATACAAAAAAATGATTTGATGTGGAAGAAGAAAAAAGGCTTTACTTAAAGATTGTTTTTCACAATATCATTGACTACTCAGTTCAGACAATTTTTAAACTGCAGCCTGGAAACTAAAACTAAATAGCTTAAATATTGCTTTCCAATAATATATGCAAACATATCATTAACACTTGTACAGACATGCACCAAGATACTTGTGAAGGACAATAATGGACCACTCGAAGTAAGACAATGGAGGCAAATAAAAAAAAATTGCAAGAAGTAATTTATTAATTAACTGAAATGGTTTTGGCATCTCAACATTTTGAAAGAAATGATTGTTTCTTTTAGCCCTCAATATTCAATAATATGTTGCATCTTTCCACCGACTATTTAGATGGATAAACTATTCTTTTTTTACCAGGACAAGATGGCATACTATCTTATCATAGTGTTAAAATTTTAAATAAATTTATATAATTCAAGAATAAATTAATATAATTCAAGAAAAATTAACAATGCTTTTTTAATTTTTCCCAAAAAAAAAACAGTTACCTGTAGCAGCTCTAAGACAAGCATCTTTCCCGTAACTCACCACAATCCACTTTAGAAAGACCAGTCCCTGAAAACAAAATAAAGAACAATAAGAGACAAAACATGACAAAGATCATGGGCAACACGCAAGAGAATATAACATGATATTTTATAAACAACTTACAAAATATCAGCAAACAAATACCATGTCTTTGAACAGGAAAAAAACACTAAGAGAAGTCAATATTAATCATGAAGGTTAGTCACAATTCTACATAGAAAAAGCATTTACTGGGAAGTTGTCAGTGCCAGTAATGTCAATAATCCACATCACATTCTTCACATCAGGAAGAACAAAGAATTAAAATAATATTCAATACTAGAGGAGTATACCTAAACTTAGACCATCAAGCAAAACAAGGCACCATGAATAATGAATCCTCAGGTCCCAATTTAGACACATTATCAAATGCTACCACGACAAAAGATCTCTGAAAGTGAGAAACCTCCCAATTTGCAATTGATGTAAGGTACAGAAATGAATTAGTTTAGTGCATTAGATTGATTCAACACATTTTTTTTTTTTATAAAAGTAGGAGGTCTCATTAAAACCCCCCTTCATAATTGTCCCTTTCATAAATGAAAGGAGAAACTAGCGAAGGAGGAAAAGAGTACCTTATTTCAACACATATTAAATGCCATGGACATGTTCTTTCAGGTTTGGGCCTTCAACAACCAAGATGATTAAAAAAAGAAAGGAGGAGAATAAAAACAACTCCACGGGACAAAGTAAATATTACAATCAATCCATTGGCAGTCTCAGAGCAAAACGAACGGTGAAAACATAAAAAAAAAACAAGTACAAAGTGGAACTTAAAAATGAAACTAGTCTAGTTACACAAATTAGAACTTAAAAATGCATATAAGTGATAATTCACCCCAACACATGCAAAAGATTTTCAAGTAGGCAAAGTATACTTTATAGTTTATACATTACAAGTTGGGAAAGACCGCAATATAAAAGTTATTTTTGAATCTTATATTTATTCAGAGATATAATTCTTGGAAGCTTTATTTGAAAAAGCATGGAATTAGTTTGCAAAAAATAAAATAAAAGTCAACATGGAAATGAAATAAAATTAGAAAACAGCTTTTACATTTATATATTGCCAAGTTAATCAAAGCAAGCAAACTACCTAAAATAATAAAGATCAAAGATAACTTTTCATCCTTGGAGCTACAAGGTCAAACAGGAACACTAGTTTCATTATGAAACTTTAGATCAGACCATACCTCCCCGAACCAGTTGTGAATAAGCTTGAACCTTCCAACAACGTAAATATAATAGACAACACATCCGGCGGTGCTTTGTCAATATCCATAACACAACCCAAAATCCATTCAGAATAGCCTGAGGAAAATGGAATTTGAAGATAGCACAAATAAGTCAAATCCCAAATATCAAGAGCCAAAGTAAGAAAAACACAAACTCATTTAAAGGAAACAAACCTAGTAAGTGATCCAGGCTGCTATCTAATTTCAAAACAAGTTGGAGACACATCTTTGCATTCAGGAAAAAGAGTAAATTAATATAAATAACTTAATATATTCTTATATATTTTGTCATTTATAATTTAAATATGAATATTATTATACTTATAAACTATATTAATATATTATAAAAATTAAGAATAAATTAAGAATAAGTTAACATAAATTATGAATAACTTAATATAAATTAAGAAAAAATGAAAGGGTGTTTTGTATAGATAGAGAAAAACCATACAAAACAAAACATCAAATCGGGCCACATTACAAAACCTCCTAACCTAATTGGAGGAAAAAGTGCACCGAAACGATGACATTACAATACCAACAATAAATTAATATAACTAAGAATAAATTAATTTAATTCAGAATAGATTAATATAATTCTTTTTTGAAAGGGGTGTTTTGTATAGATAGAGAAAAACCATACAAAACAAACATCGAATCGGGCCTGTTAAAAAACCTCCCTACACCTAATCGGAGGGAAAAAAGTGCACCGAAACAATGACATTACAATACCAACAATAAATTAATATAATTAAAATTATAAATTAAAAATATATTTAAATTACGAATAAATAATTTAAATTAAGAATAAATTAACAAGCATCTTAACCTGTGGCAGCTCTAAAAGAAAAGACAAGCATCTTTCCCGTAACTCACCGCAATCCTTTTTAGAAAGATTTGTCCCTGAAAACAAAAATAAATACAATAAGAGACAAAAACAACGAAAAGATCATGGGCAACACACAAGAGAATAAACATGATATATCTATAACAGCTTAACATCTAGCGTATTATGGAAAAATTCATTGTATCAACCAACTAATATCTAGCGTATTATGGAAAAGTAATTGAACAATGAAAGAACGAAAGAAAATTAACTATTCTTCAAACAGAGAAAAAAATAATGCTTTAATATCATGGATTTCTCTCTCTCTCTCTCTCTCTCTCTCTATGAATCACGATTAGAATTCAAAGAAACGCTTGGAAATAAAACCTAAAAGCTGGAAACAAACAAAACCCAGAGGAAAAACGCAAGAAATCATTTCCCTGATAAAATTGAACAAATAGCCAATGACCCCAATTAAACCCTAAACCCTCCTTCCTTATTTTACCCCAACCCCAAAACAAAATGCAACCATTACCCAATATTCCAATTCGAATCAAAAAATGAAAGAAGAAAGGGTGAAAAAAGAAACCCAGAACACCAGGCATTGTTCAATACAATAATACAACATTAATGAATGCAACATACCACTACTATCGCAAACTTCATAGTCCATACCGAGAAAAAAATTCAAAAATAACGAAGCAGCAAAAGATCCCCCGTTCGTTGAAGGAAAACAGCACCCCCGAAAGAAAAGAAACAAAACCCTAACGAGAGAAGAAGCTGGTGACGACGCAATCGATCCAATGGAAATGGGAAGAGTTGAAGTAGAGAGAAGTGGAAGGCTTTTTGGTATAATTTTGGAAAGAGATTTGATTTGGGATGGAAGATGGATTAAGGCAAGGCAAAGGAGGGTTTTCTTGGACTTGAAATTGTTCCTCGAAGATAAGAAAGAAAGAAAGGCAGTGAAGAAAAAGAAATATCGGGACATTAATAAATGCAACATACCGGGAAGAAAAGTTCAAAAATAACGAAGCAGCAAAAATTCCCGTTAGATATGATAGCCATTGGTTGAATATGAGCCGTTACATATGATAGGCTCGTTACATATGATAGGCTCCTATGAGCCGTTACATATGATAGGCTCCTATGAGCCGTTACATATGAGCCGTTGGTTGAATATTGAATAAGGATGGCCACGGGCTGTTTTTTTTTTTACTGTTCTAACCTTGATTCAAAAATATTTGATTAAGTTTTCAAAACAAATTCAGATTAAGAGAAGTTTGACTGTGTAAGGCTAAAGCACTCTGATGTAATTTACTGCACATAACAAATACCAGTAGCCATTATGTTCAATCGATATTTTTGACCCTATTTTAAGGTAAGAACTCATACTTTCATTTGATATTACGGAACACAAATTTAATCCGAAACGAACTCGAAATTTTAAAATAAAAAATAGTATATGATCGGACAAATCGAAACCTATAAGATACTTGTCAAATGTCCATCCTATTAATGAGATAAAAAAACAATATTCTTTTAAACAATTTTAAAAAACAATTTGAAAAAAAATACTATTCAATATAGGTTTTCATTAGTGGTACTAGATTTTCGAGTACCCACATATTTAAATATTTGATTTTTTAAATAAAATATATATCTATATTTTAATTTGAAAATCATTTATTTATTATTTGAATACTCATAGAATTTAAGTATTTGTATATATTTATATATTTTAACAAATTCAAATCCGTATCTTTTTTTTAACCATAAATTGGTAAGACAACATGATCAGTCACTCTTAAACAAAAATTAATTTCACTTAAAATTATTATTAATAATTAATAATTTTCTTGATGTTTCAATAATCGTTATACAAATAAACTAATACTTAATTTTATTATTTTAAATTCGTTAAATTTTTATATTTTATGAATTTGAATAGATTTTTACTTTTGATATTTTTTTATTATTTTTAAACATTTTAAACTCCTTTTATAGTTAATTTAATTTGAAAAAAATAAAAAATCAAGATTAAACTAGAAAAGAATATTCAAAGACTAAATTTATTTTTTAAAGTTTGAGAAAAGAAATTATAATTAGGGTTAAAATATCTATTATCCATCTATCTCAATTGGATCTTAGATGGATTAATTTTATTATGCAAATATAATAGGCTAGAATTCAAACTTGTGTAATCATATCATGGTCCACGAGGTTTAGGCAATACATCAACTATATATTATAATTTTTTGTATTATTTGATTCATAATTAGAATTTTAAAATGGCACGAATCAAGCTATTTCAGTGAAAAGGGATGATTGTTATTCCTAGAGGTTTTAGGTTCGAGCATCAAATACTAAATAAGGATGTTTGAGCTTTCATTGTTAAATGATTGTGAATCTTTCAAACAAATAACACCTTATAACCATCCTAGATTATTTAAAGAAAAAAAATTAAACTTGGTATTTCATGGTCACAAGAAGCAAATACACCTATAACATTTTTGTTATCAATACATGGGCTTTATTAGGGATGAGTGTTTGATCGAGGAGATACGAGTCGAGTTATTTGAGTTAACTAGTGTCCTAATGTTATAACTCAACTTTATTTGAAATTTTTCGAGTCGAGTTGCTCAAGTTTGTTTAAATTTAATTATAATATGTATATTATGGTATACTTTTATTCCAATTTAAACAATTTTCTATAACTATACATACATATATTTTTTCACATTTTTTCATATGTGATATACAAATCATATAGAATTGATGCACTTGACTAAAACTTGAAAATCAATACTCTAATCACTAAAGGTTTGAGTTATTCGAGTCACTATTCGAGTTATATTTTATAACAGACTTAAATTAAATTTTTTTGAGTCGAATCAAGTGAAGTCAAATCAACTCGAAAAAATTAATTTTTTTGAGTTGAGTGAAATTTTACTCATCCTTAACTCTATGTTTTGCTAAAAACAAATTTGTGCATTAGCAACAAAGATAGATGTTGATAAGATAATTTTTTTTCCGCAACCACCTTGAAGAAGCAAATTCCCATCATCCTCGTATATATAATATAAAACCGATTTGAAAGTATAAAACGAAATAAACAAATTAGTTTTGTATATATATATAATGGTAACTACAATATTGATCATTTTCGATTAAATTTTGTATATTTTTCACTGAATTCATAAATATAATATTTAATCACTTCGTTTTTATTTTATTAGATGCGGTCACTGAGGGTTAACTATTGTTAGACTTTAATAGATTGTTGACGTAACACAATTAACATATAAATTAAAAATGATAAACTACACAATAATCACTAATATTTGAGTAAATTTAATTTTTCCTATTGAATTGCATCATCTCGAATTGCATAAATTGCATAAAACCCCGGTGTCACTCTTTTATATCCCGACTATGTCTCTCCACTGTTATTGAGTGATTTGTCAATTCTCTTTTAAGTATCGTGTGTTTACTTTCAAAGAGCTCGAACTGGTAACTCATAAGTTCTCTGAAAGTAATCTTCTGGGTGAGAATGAGTTTGGACTTGTTTACAAGGGTTTATCGATGACAATCTCAGACCTAACTTGAAGGCTCAATTTATTACTATGAAGATCCCTAATTTGGATGACACGGCAAAGGGAATGACTGGTGACATTTATATGTTACCATTTCAATGTTGTTCTTGATGAATTTATGTTGAATATAGTAAAATGACTACTAATTCTGATATTCTTTTTTCCCACAAGCTAAAGTTACTTTTTTAGACAATTAAAGAACCCCTACGTAGTGAACTTATTGGATATTGCTACGAGGATGAACACAAACATCTGGTATATGAATACATGGAACGTGACTGTAGATGTTCGTTTGACCGGGTTTCATCAAGTTTCATTCGTATTTTATAAATATTAATAGTTTAAATACATGAGATTATCAGGCTTCATTTAGTTTATATATGTGTGTTTTTAATTATATGGGTATATATTATTATATATGACTTATGTATATGTTTGATATGGGTGAGGATATTATGGTAAAGGCGTGTGCGTGTGTTTGTATTGTAAATATATTATATATATAGGTTAATATGTTACGTATATATATTATCTGTGTGGGGGGGGGTTAATGGTTGTTGGAGTGTGTTCTTTATTATAAAGATGAATATATTTTATATGGATATTATTATATATATATATATATATAATATATATAAAAAATGACCTCTAAATAAATGATAACTTATATTAAACTTTGGAATTTTCAGGCCCAATTACAAACTAAAAAAAAAAGAAATACAAGGCAAATGATCCAACGGCCCAGATTCATTCCAATTCGAGATCCCTATGTGCCTACGCCTGCTGCTCGCTTGTACCCGAGCACCTGCAACGGTTGTTTGTCGCCTCCACTAAATTGGAGTCCATATTTAAAAGAATCATGATTAAAAGTCATCATCAATCTTAATTAGAGTGTGATTAGATACCTAAAATGATTGTCATTTAATAAAATTTAGTTTTTAAAAATTATCAAAACAACGTTTTAAGATTTGTGTATCAAAATTGAGTTTGAGAGTCGATTACGTAGGAAAGAATCATACCCCAAGAACGTCCTAAAATCGATATCTAGTTAGTTAGTTGTTGTCTTTGCAAGGAAGTGTACGAATTCAAATTTTTTAATTGAAGATCCAATTTTTAGTGACCAAATAAATCTTAATTTATTAATTTGATAATTCCAAGAATATCAAAATATCATATCTTCTCTTGTAATTCTCAATCTTAATTATTATCGATGTACCTAAGAGGAAAAATATGATAAATGCACATGAATTATAAAAATTAAGAGATCATCAATTCCTTAGACCTTCCTTAAACCTGATAAAGAATGTTCAAATATTTAAAAAGACAAAAAAAGTATTTGGAATAGAAACGACTTTTTCTACATCAATTTAAATACAAGAACATATCATTTTCCCTCGGTTGTACAAATTTTATGAATATCAATTTTATGTGACACTAAATGGGATACAACTTTTACTCTATACGATCAGATTGGACCCTCGAAC